GGAAGGGGGGGGGGGCAGCAGAAACACTCACGTCGGGAACGGGACGGTGTTGCCGCCCGCGCCGCCCACGGCGAACTGCAGGACGAACGGGTCAGCGCGCGCGCACGCGGGTGGGGAGGACGAGGACGCGACGCACCGCATACACGAACACAAACACTTGCGAGCCCTGCAAGTCCATCGCGTGTCAGCACCGCGCACACGCCTACAAAGAGAGAGGCACGCACCCCATCGACGGCGGCTCCGAGCAAGTACTGTGTAGCAAGAAGAAGAAGGGGGGGGAGTGGTCAGCCATCAGCGGCCCGCCCACACACCAGCGAGCGAGAACGCACGTTGTACTTCCTGAACCACCCGGCGTGGTAGCGACGGATGTAAAAGTGGGAGAAGAGCCCGATCGCCATCCAAGTGTTGATGTACCCGTTCGTGCCGCCCGCGAGGTCGCCGATGTAGTCTGCGCACAGCCAGGACGGGGCGGGTCAGCATGCGCGCGCGCGCGGGAGAGCAAACACGCAGGCAGCAAAGGGGAGAGACGCACAAGCAATGACGGCAAAGTTCATCGTCTTGCACCACTCCCAGCGGAAGCGCTTGTAGAGCAGCCACGGGATGATCGGCACGCCGAGGCCAATGACGCACCCGAGGGGCACGATGAAGTACGTCCCCTTCGGACCAACTGCAGGGGGCGCACCGTCAGCACAGCGCGCACGCGACTCGTCGCGCGCACACTCACAGATCTCCGGGCCCATCGCGCCCCACATGACCGCGAGCGCGTTGTACGACTGCACCTGCTGTCCAGACCACGTCCGCGAGCCCTCGTTGCTCAGCTGCGCGCGGCACCGCCCCAAACGCTCGCTCAATCAGCCAGCCCGCGCGCGCAGGAGGACGAGGCACGCACCAGGATCGTACGCTCGTTGTTCACAATGTCCTGCGTGATCACGTCTGCGCGCAGGGATCAGCGTTAGCATCTGCGCGCGCGCGCGCGCGCACGCACACACAGGTCAGGCGACTCACAGTTGAAGATGCCGCCGACGATGGTCCCGACGATCTGCACCGCAAAGCACGCCTGCAACACGACAACAGTCAGCACGCGCGCTCACGCGCGGCAAGGATCCGTGCGCACCCTCGGAGGAACTGCAGGCAGGGGGTGTCAGTCAGCACGCGCGCAGCGGGTGCACGAACGGGGACGACGCACGCTTAGTGTACTGGCCGAGCTTCAGATCCGACAGCATCGACTGCGCCTGGGTGAGCGACTGTCCGCTGTACAGCTCAAAGTACTGCCGGGGCGTCCGTCAGCGCGCGCGCGCACACACGCACACGCATGGCCGGAGGGTACGCACCATGTTGGCCTGGGACGAGCCGGGGACGAGCCCGGCGCCGATCATCTGGAAGAGCGGCGTCATGTACGGGTTGAAGCCCGTGATGGCGTACATCGCGCCGATGAACGGCAGCATGATCGCAGACAGCAGCAGCCCCACGATCAGCGCCCACCACGGCAGCGTCGACTTGCTCGTGTAGATGCACGCCACTGTGCGCCGCGATCAGCAGCTGCGCGGGGGGACGGAACGGAACGGACACGCACTGGCCGTCGCGAACGCGGCGAGGAACGTCGCCGCGTACCACCAGAACGGCACCTCGGGATATACCAGCATCTTCTTGTAGTGCGGATCGTCGATCGGCGTCCCGGTGAAGCTGCGCACGCAGGCATCAGTGTCAGCACACACATGCACACACCCTGAGCGCGCGGCAACGCACTAGTCCTTGAACGCGCCCCACAGCTCGCGGCCGTGCCAGAGCGCGATGTGCACGAACGTCGCGCCGATCGAGATGTTGATGCCGAGGTAGTAGATCTGCGCAAGTCAGCGGGATGCACAGGCGAGTGGTTGGACGGTGGGCACGCACCACGTTGGACCCGCTCTGGTACGGCTGCCCGTAGATCTCAAAGGCAGTGCGGTTGAGCGAGAGGTCCGGGTTGAGGATCAGGCTCTGGTTGTACAGCGTGCCATCTTCGACTGCGCACGACGTCAGTGCTCAGGCCCATCTACCAGCACGCGATGAGGAACTCACAAAAGCTACGAATGCGAGTCAGCATGAGCAAGCGGGAGAAGAGTAGAGCGAGACGCACAGATTTTGCGAAATGAACGGGTAGTTCTGCGACTGCCAGACGTTGCCCCAGTACACGAGGGGCAGGATGAGGTAGCACAGCGACCAGCCGAGGTAGTCTAAGCACAAGAGCTCGTCAGCGAGGCGCGGAGGCGGAAAGGGAATAGACACGCACTGGAGATTTGCGTCGAGAGCGGGAGGTAGAACGGTGCGCTGGTGATATCTGCAAACACCCCCGGTCAGCAATCACGAGGACGCGATATGAAGCGCGCGACACGCACTGGCCCAGTCGACCCCGAACCCAAGGAGGCCCATGCCCT